GGAGGGTCAAGGCCCGAAACGTCAGCTTTCCTGCTCCTCTGATGCTGCTTGGCCTGCTGTGTTCATCCAGCGCTACACCTTGTTATCTCAGATTCTCCAGCATCTGCAGTTCCTGCTATCTCTTTACTTACAATAGGTTAGGGAATAGCTGAGGAGAACAAGGGAATTTAGCAAGCAGAAATCCACAGTCTCACATCTTCCAGTACATCCTGGCGCACTTTTCAGCCAATAACGCCTTTAGAATTGTAGTCACTGCTATAATAGGAATAGGCCATTCAGCCCCTTAAGCCTGTCCCACAATTCAATTGGATCATGGTTGTCCTGAAACTTCATTCTACTACCCAGGCTCCAAAATTATCAATATCCCTGCCTAAGGAAACTCTAAATCTCAATTACAAAGTTGCAAAGGAATCTACCCTCTGCAGCTCAGAAGGTGTGTACATGACAGGAAGACAGGAAGAGTATTACTACAAGTTTCACTGTTCCCCTTTGTGTGAAGAAGTGCTTTTGTGACATTATTCAAGAACAGCCTAGATCCAATTTGGAGAGTTACCCATTTGCCCTGGAATCCTTCCCCGGAAGAAACAGACAGAAACTATCTGCCCCATTATTTTATTTATCATCTAAAGCATTTGCATTAGATCATTCCTTAATCTCCCTCATTCAATGGCATGCAAGAAGAAGCCACAAACAGCAATAGGAACAATCAATTTTAGTGTTATTTGTTTGAGAGATTAACATTGATCAGGATACCAGGGAGAACGAAGATAGCCATCTGATCTTTGATATCAATGCAAGAGGGCAGATAGAGCCGTAGTTTACAAAGTTAACATTATTCAAAAAAGGAGGGAGGAAGAAAAATGAGGAACTGAAAGATCAGTTAAACCTGACATCAGTTGTCAGAAAAATCATGGTAATGAGCAGAAGGTGGCAATATCATTTTATGAAAGGGAAATAGTTTGAGATAAATGTATTAAGAAATTGTTGAGGAATTAGCAAGCAGGCTAGATAATAGAGGAAGCAATAGATTTAAAAAGCTCATGTATTTCCAAAAAGCACTTGGATTGGTCAACGGACAAGAAGCAGAGAGAGTGGGAATGATTAGGGGTGTTTTTTCTCCAGTTGGTGGCCTGTAATTAGTGACCTGGCACAAGGATTGGTGATACAGTCTCATGTATTTACAATCTGTATTAATGACTTAGGTAAAGATACCAAGAGTAACACTCATGTTTTCTTACAATTCAAAACCAAGTAGGAAAGTAATCCATGTGAAGGGCATAACGAGCCTATAAATAGATATAGGCAGGTTAAATGGATGGCTATCAAGGTGGCAGATGGGGTGTAATGTGGGGAATTACTTTGGTTTTCTGCTCTTAGAATGAAGTGTTTTTAAAAAATAATAAAAAACTCTTAAAT